TTTAATAATAATTTTATGAGTGCTTAGCTACATTTAAGTATTCTAACAGATCTTGCTTCAAAGACAAGACAACCCTTTCAGAAATCCACAGTGCAAAGATTTTGTGTTTACTCGTCTTTCTAGCTACAAAAAGTATTTTCTTCAAAACGTTAAGATTCTTTTTCAAGAAGCTATCATATTTTTTATAGTTATAGTAAATACTTTATACTAACCACACCTATGCATACTAAACGTACTACAGCAAGAGAAAAGATTTATTAACAAACAGTGTATGGAAATGTCCGAAATCTATTTTATACTTAGATATTTTTTTTATTTTTATTTTTTTTTGTTTTTTTTTGTTATGAGATTGAAATTCAAGGTCGCACGCAATACCTGAAGCTGTTGAAAGATGGATTTATGACACTAAAAATTCTCGTACACAATCTGTTTCCATAGGAAAGTAGCTTTGGAGATTATGTGCCCAACAACAACAATAACGAATTTTATGACTTTTATGTTTTTTATATCTTAAACAATTATAGAATTTTAAATAATTTTTTTTAGTTTTAATTTTATTTTGTTTATGTATTTTCTCAGTACTTACCAATAATTGCATGAACTCTGACGCTTAACTGGGTGCGCACCACCAAAGAATTTTTGCGACTGTAAGATAAGCAAAAGGAAAAAAGAGGAAAAAATATACATTAGAACTTTGTGCAGGCAATGCATTATTAAATAATATTAAATAAAATTTTGTTAAATTATTACAGCACATATGATTACAAATAAGTGCAGCTGGTAAAAAGCTAAAAGCCAAGTTAATTGAAAATTTATAGAAACATTCTGACGATCAGTGCTCAGCGCTTAGCGCTCGCCAGTCTAAAGTATCTTTTGTGACCGACGAAGAGTAAGAATTTTTTGTCTATTGTTTGCACGTTTATACTTGGCTTGACTTTCGATGCTGATTACATTGCCAGTCAGCGTAGTCAGCGTAGTCAGCGCAGTCAACGCAGTCAGGCAAGCCGAGTTCAACGACCACTTAAGAACATTGATTGCTGAATAATAATAATAATTCCAGCGAGCACCAGAATATGTATAATTGAAAGAGGGTAAGGCAGAACGAACGGATCGCGAGTACTCACAGCACAATGTGAAATCAATGAAAAATTGTTCAAAATCGAATGAGAAGTACGCGCAAGCTTTCCACCAGCTAGAAGAGATGAAGACGGGCACGGGCTTAGCGCTAGATTATACCAGCGCGCAAGTACGATACCAAATTAACAATTTTAATATCTGTAATTGTATGTGTGCGATCACAGGTCGCCGATAAGCACGATAAGCACATATGCATATGGTTGAAAAAAGTTGGAGTACCGTACTAAGACGCCAGCCAAAGCGCACCATACCTTAACTTCCTATTTGGGATTCCATCTTTGAAGCCTCAGCCTCTGATGAGTTATAAACGACTTTGGCTTATAATTTTGCTTATAATTTTGTGCATCTCATTGTCAGCAAAGCAACGGCAACAGCAACGGCAACAGCAACGGCAACGGCAACACAATTGATTTCTGCAACATAATTGCGCAAAACGATATTACGAGTGTTTTTTATCGCTTATGTTATATGCCAAAAAGGATGCAGCCAGTGCCGCTGCCAGTACCAGTGCCAGTGCCGGCAGCACTGCGGCGGCGTTGTACTCGTAAGTCTTAAATTTTAAGTACTTTTGTTTGGATTATTTTGAGCACTGAGACAGTCGTCATCGTAATCTTGATGGCGCACATTTTGTTTTGTAATTTGCATGTCGGCGACATCTACACAAATTCCTCTTGTTTGGCATGTGGTAATGGGCCATGTTTATAATTTAAGTGTACAATGTCTCCTGTGGCCACGTCTACCCTCACCCTACCCTTTCCGCATGCGCACAGCTCGCTTTATGCATTTTTCATGACATCACGTTTCAGCCATAGTTTCTTACTTCAGTACTTCATAGTCATAGTTTCTTTTCAGTCTTTAGACTGATTAGACTGCGCAAGTATGTACGGCTAAGCCTCAGATAGTCTTGTATTATTTTAGTTTTGTGGGTTTGATTGGTTAAATACGGATTACATGTAAATTAACTGACATTTTTACGCTTCCCTTGCCGTATCTCAGCCAGTCGGCATTGGCGAATAGTAAATTGTCCATTCACTATTCGTTCGTTGAGGAATAGTTGAAGTTGTTGGCACGTTTTGCTTGTTTCGTTCACAATCATAAAAACACATTTAAAATAAATGTCTTACTCAAAGGATGTCTCAGATCCGCAATATCAGATATCATACTCGTACATAAAAGCATATAAAAGTTAAAGTGTAAATATGTTTATGACTGTTAACCATTATGGGGGAGTTATAAAAACTTCATTCAACTTCAAGAAGACATAAATCAATCGATAACAAATAACATAAATAAATTTCAACAATGACAGGAGTAGAGTCTTTTGAATTATTAAGTTTTCAATTAATAATTTCAGTTTATGTGCTTAAGTCAAATATAAAATATCCTCCTCTATAAAGATACAAAATAAGATTATGTGTCATTTATACAAATATGTTAAGAAGAAAGATATGAGGATAAGTTTAATTAAAAATATGGTCTCCTTGCATCATCGACCGAAATGGTAGTATCTTTTTGAACCACTAAAACTATCTCTTAGGATTGAATGGAGAAGATTTTCACCGTAATGTGGAAACTTCATTCCAGTAATTAAGAGGGAAATGTGCTCAAAAGGCTTAATAACTAGAAGTCTAGCTTCATTTTATCTAAGCCAAGAAAGGTAGAATCAAAAGAGATGTGTCGTATAAAAAGACTGAGTGCTGCTTCTCTGTTCCTTGTGTTTTACTCCTAGCAGAGCTTAATTAAAGAAGAAGATCGCTTTTGATTTTTTATGTTGACTGTCATTATTAATTTTTTCGTTATGAATTTAGCGGTTTTAAGATATTGTGTTTGTTTTTTCTTTTTTTGGAAAGTTTAAAATGTATAGAACATATACGACAAGTAATAATGGTGATCTCAGGACTCCATCACTTAAATTTTGTTACGATTATGTGATTTCTATCAATTCGGATTTCAAATTGTGCAAGAAACTACTCAGCAGGTATATTATTATGGTATTCAACAACTAGGAGTAGAATCAATATTTGAAGCAGATTTCTAAAATGGTTTTGACTACAAATCTCAGTTACTTTTAAAGCTCAGTTTGAAACTTCTCATTATGACTGTTACATTTCAATATCTAAGACTTAGATTATTGAAGAATATTATATTTTGGAATATTATATAAAAATAATATATATATATAGTGTAAAAATGAAAACTAATTCTTATTAAACATTTGCATCGGTTACCACAATTTATAGGATAAGGCCAATCGTTATAATTCTTATCTCCACAAAATAGGTGGAAATTTTTTGTCAACTAGACAGAAGACCAGGATGACTTCGTTATAATATTGAAGCAATATAACGTCCCATTGCTCATTATTAGAGCATAAAAGCATCACACACGAATTCTTTATTAGGGTTAGAGCAATGGTTGATATAGTAAAGGTAAATAACACGTTGTGACTAATCTGCTCAGGTTATCTGTTTAGTATCGGTTGCATATTTCCAAAAAATGCCAACAATTACAAGTGGAATTATATTTCATTAATATTATATTTTCATAATATACAATGAACAATCCTGTAGTCTGTAACATCAGTTCAATGCATATATCCTGATGGTTACTTTAAAAATATTCACAACCAACACACATACATATTTTTTCTTGTTGTATTCCTAGAAATCTTAGTTCTACTGATATTAATTATGGATATAATTTACAAACGTGGAGCTACAATAATGGTACAAAGTTCTCTCTAAACATGAACGAAATTTCTAGCCAAGTAATTATGACGAACGAACCACAGTTATGAACCTCATAACCACAGTTATGATATCTAACATTGTACTTACGATTTAGTACAATGTTTTCACATGCTTGGCTTCACTCTTAAAATCTAATACGAATTATTGAGTTTCTCAACATCATGATATAGTCCAATGTATTATATAAAACTGGATTATTCATATCTGTTCTACTTCATGCTCAATGCTGTATGATTGCCAATAATCTCAATTTTTTAGATAAGCTAGAATCTTTTATTAATACTAATATTACATATAAATTAATCTTTCTCCAATAAACGTAGGCGGCGCAGCATTATTGCAAATAATCTCAATTTAATAGAGAAGCTAGAATCTTCGATAAATACTAATCTAGGTATATAATAATCTAGCTCAAATTAACCTAGGGGCGCTGCATGTTTGCTAATAATCTGATTTCAATTGATAAGCTAGAATCTTTTATAAATATTAATATCACATCAAAAATTTTGTTCTTCTTGTTCGGATTAACGTAGAGGACGTTTCTATTCTACATTAATCTCATTCATCCGAAACTAATTGTATACTCTAGAAAGTTCTACGTAAGATTGTCTTATAAACTCTGTTATTTAAAGTATTATCCGTCCCCAACAAACTTCTTTCTATCGGCAAGTAAAGTAAGGTAATGATTTAATTTGCATGAATACAGTAAATCAGTTTTACCGCTCCAAATTTAAACACAGAAGCTTGGAAATTACCAATTCCTACGCTTTCAAACTTTATCATTATAGAAAAAATTTCCCGAAACTAATCCACGGCATATGTTCTTTTGAAGCTGGATTTGAGTTTTCTACAATTATCTAAGCAGCAGAATGCCACTTCAGCTGCATAAGATAATTGCTGCATTACAAATTAGAATCAAACTAGACTAATCTCACGCACTGTCATATACCGAGTGATGTGTCCGGGTATGAATGCATATGCATGTGAGTAAGTAAATGTTTTTTATTTGTCTTTAACATTTTAAAAGTAATTTTATCTTATATTCTGTTTTAGTATACTTTTTATTTAATTTATGCGGCATAATTTTCTCATAACTCATTTTATGTTTCGCGTTTTTACTCTGTTTTGCAGAATGTTGCCTGCAATTTTATCTGCAATAAATAATCAAGTGAAAGGCTTCCAAACATGTTACTTTCTGCCAAGCGGACTCACGTGCATTAAATAAAAAAACACCCACTCTTTGTAACCGCAACCTCTAAGCAGCGTTGCATACGAGCGGCGCAAGAGCAGCCAGTCGATATGGATATGGAACGTTACTTACGCATGCACATGGTTACAACCCCAACCAAATAACCAGACAGACAATGTAAACGAAAACGTACTTGTATCTCATGAACTCAACAGGAAGAGCGATCATCTTAAAGCGCAAATTGCCCCAGAAACCCAGTGAAAATATTACCATCACCATCGCCATCGCCATCGTCATCGTCAACGGCATTACCACTGCCAAAACATTGCCATCGCCATTGCCATCGCCATCGCCAACGTCAATTGTCAACTCTGCAACAGTCGAAGGCAACACTCATTTTAGTTGACTGGGGCAAGTTGCAAAACTCGCTTCCACTCGCTTCGATTGTGTTCCTGCACTGAACGTTCGGTTCGTATGGGTACGCAAACACAATGGGTTCAAGGTAAATTACACCGCTGTCCATTTCGCGCATAGGCCAGCCAGAAAAGTGAAACTAACACCAAAAATAAGCACAGAAATACTCGTACAGAAAAAAAAAAGATTAAAAAAAATTAAGAAAGGAAACGAGTACAAGTCAAATCTTTTGTATGAAAATATATTATGCGAACTTTCGACAGTTCTGGCAAATATCTTTCTTTTTTTTCGAGCTCTGGAGCTCCAGAAAAAAGATTGCTTAGCATTTTGCTGTTAGCTTAGCGGTTTTGTTCCACAAATAAATCTTTTGTTTGCGCAATTTTGTAATTTGGTTGCACGTCTGTCTGTACTTTCAAAACTAGAAATGAATTAACTTATAGTCGTGAAAGTGTTAATCGGAAAGAATAATCACAACCGCAATCAATGAAAAATGATGCCTTCGAGGCGAGCAAGGAAGACATAACTCAAAAGTCTCTCTTTTTGTCTGCCTTAGCAATGTAAGTAATGTTTCTATTTTAGACCAGGAAGTCTGTTCTTTAGACTTTCACATTAAGGAAATGGAAAAAATTTGAATTTGTTTTTGTATGGTATTAAACGATACAAAAGGTACTAACACATGGTAAAGTAGGAAAAACACATCTGCAGGAAATAGTTAATAATTGCACAAAGAAGATTTAAGTGTTGTTTAATTTGTAAGTAGCAAAATCATAATAAATAAGCTCTTCCCATTTGTAAATCATCAATAAAAGAACATAAAATTTGGTTACAAACAATAGAAAATATAAAATAGAAAATAATCGAAAATAAGAGCCTCTCAGCAAGGTCTTAGTTTATATGGTAAGCCATATGATTTTTTATTTGGAATTCTTTTCTCATTTTATTATCTTCAGAAATCTTAACCATCTGCGGTAATCACTTTTTGGCTCAAGCAATCACTCAATTCAAAATATATTGAATAAATAAATTATATATATGATGGGTATTTGGCAAGACTTGAACCAGCAAACTGATTGATCCGCAAAAGAACCCATTAATTATAAATACAATTTACTTATAATTTATTATTGTTTTTAAATTTTTAATTTAAAATTATTATATATTATTCATTATTCAAAATTAATTCGGTTCTTGTTATTCGTTTTCTATTTACAGTATTTATATGCAAAACAAACTCATGGACTTAGATTTGACAGATTCAAGCATACACTCTTATGATTCATACGCTATCTTCTTCTTTAGTGTGGCATGGTAGATAGGATATGACAAGATGAACGTATGACCAATGACCGTACATGAAGAAAAGTCCCGACTAGGCGGACGCATCCACCGTATTCACCAGATTTGGTGATTAGCATCTGTTTGCAAACCTCAAAAAAATGATTCAGAAAAGAAGATTTGGGTAATGAAAAAGTCGTTGTCAAAACTGAGTCATGTTTTAAGTCTAAGATAAAATATTCTACAAAGAAAATATTAAAATGTTAGAGAAGCGCTGAATGGATTATATTGAGACTACGCCGATGAATACAGTCGTTTTCTGCCAAAAAATTGTTGGTTTGCTGGCTATTCTTTAGATTTATTAGTCAATATTTTATTATATAATGTTAAGGACATTATTTTGATTAAGACATGATCAACCGTATGAGTATAGCTAGCCAATGTGCTAGACTTCAAAAAAATAATAAGCAGGCTTATACTGGATTCACACGAGTATTTTGTCAGCCATCAAAAATTTGAAATTGTCATCTGAAATCAAAAAGCTAAACATTCCTTAAAATTATTCACAATAGCAAAAGTTTGGACTACACAATACTGTACTATGGTGAACTGTTCAAGTTAAAATCAACTTGATTTTGATATTTTCAGCTGTCAAGATTCCCATATAAATCTTCTTGATTTGAACTTGTTTTGCTATCGATCGTGTAAAAACTTCCGTGTGAATCTAGTAAAAGACTATGCCTAGTGGATCTTAGTGTATCACAGGAGTCTCGTTGCTATATAAACAAATAATCCGTAACGTACATGAGTTTTTTCACATATTCAGACAGAGTCATTAAGAAGAAAAATAATGAAAGTGAAGATGATATAGCACATATAATAAGAACGTAGGCTACATTTGTATTTTTATTTAAGTGGCATCATAATTATATGGATCTATATTCGTATAACATAAATGACTATTAGTTTTGGATTACCTCTCCGTAGCATTGCGACTTTGGTGTCTTAAGTAATGTCAATCAATCGAATGGCATTACTTTATGTTCATTTATTTTTATAATTAGAGTGTATTTATAGATTTTAATCGAAGAAACCAACGTTTTATCTATTAGAAAATTGTTTTTAATACTCAAAATTCAGATTTTATCATTAATCATAAATCTTATTTCCCACAACAATATTATAACAAATTATTGCAGTGGATAATACTGCCACTTTGAGTTATCATAAAGATCTTGTGATGCTAACATAAATATTTAGTGAAGAAAATAATATATTTATCTTTTTCTTGAAACTAAATATTATAATATGTGGCATCACACTTTCATCAGATATTATACCCAAAAGCGTATTCCGCTTATTAAATTTCGTAAGGGTTCGTCTGGTACAGCAGCTACTGCTGCACCAAATACTGCCGTTGCAGGAGCTGCAGGAGCAGCTCCTGCAGGACCACCTGCTGCAGGAGGAGCTCCTCAAAATGTTTGTATACAATTTAGATACTATTTACTAGTTTGTTTTTGTATTGAATAATAACTTAAGTGATAGCTCTTAAATGAATATAAAAATACTTAATATTTTTGTTTTTGTTTAGGCTCCTGCCGCATCATCAAATGCCATAGAAGACTATGATCTTCCTGAACGTTATAAGCGCAAACCATTGACCGACTATGAGATTGAGTACATAAATCAAGGAGGTCCACCATAAGAACTCAATATGTTAATTGTAGCAGTATAACTATTTTAATACCAAATTATTAAACGAAATTTTTTAATATTATGGGAGCACAAATGGAATGAAAATAGATTAAGTTTGGTAACAAAAAGTTCTCATTTAGTTTCAAAGTATATTTCTTCAATAAATTAATAAAAAAGGTTAACGTTATTAAATGCAAACTAGCTCTTTTAATTGAAGTTATTAAAAATATTAAATTTAGTATAAAAATTATTTTAAATAAAATTGGAAAGGATATTATTAGTTAAATAATTTATAAATAATATTAAATTATTAAATAAATAATAGTAGAAAATATTAGTTAAAATTAATGTCATTAATTTTCTGCTGCACATATTCATATTTCTTGATATATAGCCAAGACGTTAAAATAAATTATAATTAAAAAGCATTTTATTTACCTAGAATTGAGGCCTTCAATATCTTCTGACTGTTCTGCCAAAGAGGACTCCAAGTCCAAATATGCTCCATAATCACCATCCTTGTAGACTTGTATAGCAGCATCATCGATCTGCAATGAAAGCAAAATGTTATTATCGAAAAAACGTTTATATTATTAATAAAGGATTATATATAATATATCATTCATAGTATATCAAAGTCTGATCTGATTCGCTGGTGTTTTTATTAATTTTTATATAAAATGTGTAGTTGGAAAAGTTAACAGTTTTAGATTTAATAGACTTATTTTTATCTAATTACGCAGCTGTGTAGGATATTATCAAATATTATGTTTTTTGACTTCTAGTGGAGGATATAGTTCCGGTAGGTCCTCCAAATCAAATTATGTTTGAAACTGAGGTAGATATTTTTTTTTTTGTTTTTTTTATTATTTGAAACACAATATGTACAATAATATAAATACATGTTTCATTTGACTACGACTAGTTCATACAAGAACCATCAAGCAGTTTTGTTACATTTCAGAATACTTATTAGAATTGTGAAGTTGTCAAAGACTTAGTGTTAATAGTAGTAATCTAAATTATTATTAGACTACTAATTCGGGAGTAGATCTGAAGGCTTTGTTCGTTTAAGTCTTCTCAGCAGGCCAGATGTATTAGACAGATGGGTGACTGTCTCGTTTGGATGCTGTTGTAATCGTTTTTAGTGCTTTACCACGAGCTTCTGGATTACTGCAGCCACAGATTCGATCTACCTCCCGATGGAGGTCAGTATTCCTAATAAACCACGGAGCGTTGACTAAGTTTCTTAAAACTTTGTTTTGAAAGTTTTGAATGATTTGAATAGTGGATTTTGGTGCACATCCCCATAACTGGATTCAATACGTCCACACCGGAGCTAAGACTTGCTTGTGTATCATTAATTTATTATTTAGAGAGACGGGTGATTTGCTCCCAAGAAGCCAATATAAATATGAAGCCAATATAAGGTAGATATGGCGTACATATGAAGTACTTACACAAATCATGTGTCATTTGTTATCTGTTATAAAATGTCTATTCTATTAAATGAAAGACCATGTTGATAAGCAACATAAGTATGACTTACCCCCTATAGAATTGATTTATAGACTTGCTTGGTAATGTATGTGTCTGAGTTCGGTTTTCACTGAGTCTGATTCATATATCTCAATTTTTAATAATTAAATCAAAACTTCTCGTTATATTTCACTAATAATTGCTGACAACTGTTCTCTTAAACAATTCTAAATAAATTATTGAATGAAGATAATACATAAATTTTATTTTTAAATACATAAAATACAATATTATATAAAACAAAAAATAAAATAAATAAAAAATAGTAAAATACAATACATGTTATACATAAAAACCTAAATCAGTATTTCTTATTTATTATTTTGCATAGATCAAAATACAATGGCGTTAATATAAATAAAATTATAAATATTTAAATGATTTCCACAATTTATCCAATGAAACTATTAAATTACATTTATAAACTTAATAAACCACAATTACCTAATATAGAAAATTGTTTACGAGTAAATTAGGTAAATTTTATATTACTTAACAAAACCACAAAACGTAAGCAAGTTTATTCAAAAGATATTTGTTCTTACAGATGCAAAAAATATTTAATAAATTTGAATATAAATTGCAAGTTGTTTTCAATATCATTTCAATTCAATTTAAAACAATTTTACATCAATTTTTTGCATTACGGCTCTTATAGTACATTCACACTATCTCATTTAGGCACTTGCTCATTTATATTAATACGTGAACGTTCACATTATAATGAGCTCATTTATGTAGATGATAGAACTTTTATAAACTTCACCTAAATATTATTAAGTCACATAAAAAAATTAAATATATAATTGATATATTAAATCATTTACATTTTAACATTATACATTAACATTATACACCTTTTCTATATCAATTCAATTAATAAAAATAAAGATTTTATTAAATACTTAATTCCTCAGTATGTTTACTTACAGCTCAGCTATTGTTTGTTTACATTTTACGTATAAAACATATATAAGAAAACACATATTTCAAATTTTCATAATTTCCCCTGTGGGAAATTTATTTTTAAGCAACCCTTAAATGAGTTCGACATTTTTCGCTTTAAATGAACTGATTTATTGATAATGAGCTCATTTATATAAAATATTTTTATATGTACGTTGTATTTGTAAGTTTTCGAAAAAGTACTATATAAAGTACGCAATAATAGATAAATGGTCACGTGAAAATTTTTATATTGATTGACAATGTTTAAATTTCTATCAAAATCACAAACAAGCTCATAAGCTAGGTGCGATATCTAAAAGATGTAAGGGCTTCGGTTGTCGCCATAAACTAATGCCCAATGTGTAAGTTCGTCTATAATGCTAATACTTGTAATACCTATCTAATATTTAGTGATTATATACATCTAATTGGTTTTAATTTGATACTTCTTTTAATATTAATAAAAAAATAGTACTGAAGTCTAACAACAATCACTTAAATGGTTAGTAGCATTATTATATAGCTGCGATTTATGCATTTGCTCTAATAGAACACAGAAAGTGAAACAATAACAAAATGACAAAATTCCAATTTCGAATAGTACAAATCAAGTACGACTTTGGTTTAAGTAAGTCTAAGTTCAACAGCTGGTATTTACAGTCTTAAAATAATATACCGAGAATCAAAATTAGAGACAATAATATTTTCTTTTCTTATAGTAGAAGTCCATTATCGTTGTGGATAATAATTAAGAATCTTTGGTACTCAAGTTCTTATCACTTACTTAATTCATCTTGAAAGAATATTACATTTTAGGAACAGAGACATTCTTATATTAAATGTTGATATTTAATATAGTATTTGGCAGTACCTACAGTGGACAATTCTATTGTATAACTATGTGGTAACCCTTATTTAGTTTGGTTGCTTTCAGAAATTTAAGAATAGCTGCAGAATTGAACTTTGATAATTCTTTACGCCATATTAAGTCGGGTTGGTGTACTTCAGAATATTCACTATTTTCTATGGGTGAAAATTTGTTTATATGAGTTATGTTATAATTGGATGTTTATATGTTGTGATATCATCATTATTTTTATATAAGTTAAGTATATTTCACAATGGCTTTTAATCCTTATATTCTTTTGCTACTTTTTTTTACAGCTGCTTATACCCGGAACGCATAGTCTGCCTTTCAGCAATTCGTTAATATAGCAATCCCTTTTTCCATAGTGGAACATTTGTCAGTAAACGCTAAAGAGTAGAACTTATGCAATGCCATTATCTCTGGAATGATAAACAGGGTCGAAGGTGGTGAAAAATATAGAACTCAAACAGAGTAAAGCACGTTAAGTGCTCTTTTAACCTGTAGCTCTTTTGTAGATTAAAATCGTAGGCCTATATAACAAAGAATTATACAAGAATTGGGCATGGCGATAGTAGGGGTTAGTTATATTCTCCCGATTCGATATCAAAAGAGAAAAAAGCAGTTTGTCAAGCAGAAGTTAAAACATATGATGGAATTAAACAGACATATATAATAAATTTGTTATTAAGATACCCCGGTAAAACTATAATATAAGATAGAATCTAGACTGACTTTCCTGCTAATAAAAATAGTATTTATAATCAATGACAAGCGGAAAAAATTCTAGAAAACGTATTAATAAATCTTAAATTCATGATAAAGTACAAAACGGAGTTTAACAAACTTATATATAATAGATTTCCGTAAAGCTGTTAAGATACCCCAGTACAACTATAGCATTAGTTAGAATCTGAGTTATTGTCTACCTGAAAAAATTAAGTATATTATTAATCAAAAGCAGCAGAAATACGTGGAAAACATATATAAAACCTTAACATTTTAATTAAGTATATAATGGAATAACACAAATATGTTTATAGTTGATTTCTCTTATTAAGATACTTCGACATAGCTGTAATATTAGTTAGAATCGAAACCGATTATCGGACTTTAAACAAATAAGTTTATAATCAATGACAAGCGACAGAAGTTACTAAAAAACGTAAATACATGGAAATAGGTACATATAATAGATATATGTTTGGTTATCGGGGTACTACAGCAAAGCTATACTATTAATTAGAATCTTTATATGTTTTTTGGTGGTAAAACTTGAATTTAAAAAATCTATGACAAACGGTAGTAATTACTAGATAAAAACCTGAAGTTCATAATTAAGTCTACCTATATTGAATAAAAATATAATAAATCTCTCTTTATAAGTATAATTTATATAGCAAATTATTTAAGCTCTTAGTCTTCACAGAAGAAAAATTTATATATATTACTTTGATGATCTCAAAGTTAAATTTATTTAGTGAAAATAGGGTTTATGCGAAGAAAAAGAAAATATAATTATTATTATTATTATTTTTACAAATAAAAAAAAATACTTAAAATTTTTTAAAAGAAAAATTATGAAAATACAAGAAACCAAAACCGAAACCAAAACCAAAACAAAAAACGTTTTAAAGATTCCTGCTGTTAAAGTAAAAGTAGCTCTCGAGCCAATATTGTTGACCCATACGCATTTTTATGCATGCGCATGCGCGTATCATTTTATGAAAGTGCAAGCTGCAGCTGCATGCCGCAAGATACAAGATGCAGTATGCTGTATGCTGTATGAAGTCTGTATCTGCAAGATGCATGCTGCACGCATTAACAGAACGTTTAAGAAAACAAAGCTTTAATCAAGTGTCTTCAGTTTGACAGTGTGTCGTACTGATAAAAAGATTGTGTGCTGTTATTGGTGTTACTGCTATTGTTGCTGTTGTTGCCGTTGTTGTTGTTGTTGTGCTGCTGCAGTGAATGGTGGTCGGTCACCTACTTTTCTTAAGCACATCTCGTCTGTCTTTATAATTGTTTCTTGATTTGTGTGTCTTTATGTGCGACTCTCTGTCAATCTGTCTATCAGCATGTCTGCTGTGACCAGCAGTTGCTGTGATTATTGCTCTTGCTTTTGCTGGTGCTGTTGCTGTTGCTATTGACGTCCGCTGGTGTTCGTGTGTTGCAACTTTTTTTACGTATTGC